GTCCTTGAGACTGATTTAGGGCCGCATTGCTAGGGCAGCCACCTTCATCTGTGCAGGTTAGGATGTTTATTTGTGTCCCCCACCAGGGAAAACATCTATTCCATTATATAGGTTTTGAACGTGGGTCACACACATGGGAGCTCAGGGTTCTAACCATATAATAAACTGCCCTACTGAAAGGATTACATAATTGTACTAGTAAAGTCAATAAAATGAATAATCAATATCACAGCAAACATAAAAAGAATAATAATGACCTTTATATGCATCACACAGGAAGAAAAGCAAACAATTTTCAAAAACTGCATGTTTAAAAATAACACAATTACTATCCCATCTGTATTAAATACACACCTAGTGGTGGTTATGGTTATAAGTAAGTGTAAATATGTCAGACGACCTAGACCAGACATGCCACTACAGAGACAACATTAAGGGTCAGCCCTATTCCCCCCTCCCCTCCACAACCTTCTAGGGGCATAGAAAGAGGGCTCAAGCCTTGTTTAACTGGGCAATAAAAATAATTATTATTACATGCTGAATGGAAAATACTTCTTCTTCTTTACATTCACCAGCTGTAAACACCTGCGGAAAGTTGTGGTTGTTCCTCCACTTCTGGACTCTAGTCCATTGTCAGAACCTCAGTGCTTGCATGCATATAAGTTTTACAGATCTGACTCATGTGTATGCAGATTGTTGATTCCCTGCCTCTCAGGTAAATGCACCCTGACTTCGAAGGAAGCTCCCAACTAGTCGACTCTTACAACATGCTTCTGGGTGGGTAGCCAGTCTATTCTTGTTTTCCCCACAACAGGGCCATGAAAATCCACACAAGGAAAATTGAAAATACAAAGTATTATATCTGCCATGAAATGAAATGTATATGCAAATGCCTTTAAAAAAAACATCTACATGGTAGGGGTGAGAGTGAGGGTGTCTGCTCCATAAAAATCATTAGTGGGGGGACTTCAGGCCTTCCTTAAAAATAAATTAGTGGGGGGGGGGGGGGGGGGTGCTCAATGTGCCTGAGCCCCAAGGCTCCAGGGCCTATGACCTATACAATGAGATAAAAAAAAGGTCTCTTAAGATTTTGTGGAGAATGAGCAAACATCTACAGCACATGCCACATGTCACAAAGAGATTCCCAGGGACACAGATATAACCAAAAGTACTCAGGAACAATGCTGGCTGCATCATCATCATCATCATCAACCTCTGCCTTCACCTTCCGGTGATCTTCTGTCAAATGTATCTTGCATAACACTTGTTCCCACAAACTGTCTAACAGGTTTACTCAGGCATCTCTTGTCACAATCCTCAGGCATCTCTTGTCATAATCCTCAGGCATCTCTTGTCACAATCCTCAGGCATCTCTTGGCACAATCCTCAGGCATCTCTTGTCACAATCCTCAAGCATCTCTTGGCACAATCCTCAGGCATCTCTTGTCACAATCCTCAGGCATCTCTTGTCACAATCCTCAGGCATCACTTGTCACAATCCTCAGGCATCTCTTGTCACAATCTTCTGGCTTCTCTTGTCACAATCCTCAGGCATCTCTATTTACTTTATGTATGTGAGTTCTGATAGTGACCAAGTTTGGCACTCCCCACGATACTGTTAGATGTGTCAAACATAACAGTGGTTCCCTTGTATGGGTTTTGGGGCCTCCTTGTGGAGGGGAAAGAAGAGACCCAGTGCCTCCTAGCAAGTGTCTTGTAAAAGTTAACTAATTAGGGGTGTTTCCCTTGCAGTTGGAGTCAATCACTCTCTCTGTTATAAGCAACCTAGTGAGAGACAGCAGCAGAAACAGAATGACCTTGTATTCTCACAGGGAAAATGCATAATAAATAAACAGGCTATCTAATCTTGTGGATGTAAATACATTTTACAATTTATAATTTTTTATATTTACAGTTTTATGAAATCCAAATATCCTCTCAGGCAAAAATTTTCAAATAATCCTAATATTTTGTGTTCTACTGTTTGTGACCTCATTATTTAAGTTCATAATGGGTAAACATTATTTAGAATTATATTTGTCAGCGCTAAGCTACAAAATATACACTGCTTCATTACTCAATTCATGTCTTCATTTCTTCTAAAATAAATCATTCTAGCCGATTTGTTACTTTATTTCTGCTACATAGCAGTTATTTTAACTCATCAAGACTCAAGGATTATTACTGAAGTGTGTATAATAATCATTGTATGTGCAGAAAGGGTTAAAATAACAACTACTGGCAATTGCAGGGTGTAGAACAAACAAATCAATTTAACAAAACTGTGCAAATGTCTCCACAGACATTGGTAAGCTATTACATGAATTGCTTTTACATAAATAATGAAATATTTTTCTACTTAAAACATTTATATCTAGTATAGCTTTTGCTAACTATGCAAATCTTTTGTGTCTTGCAAAATACAATACAAACAGATATTTACTACTGCCTGAATGCATAAGATATGGTTAACAAACAGCTGGTATACCAGCTGGTTCAACCACCACAGACTGAAACAACCGTACACTACAGTGTTCTGAAATCTATGAAACAATGCTACATAAGACAACACTATCACAGTCATATTTAGCCTTGATGCCAGCGTGCTAACCACTGCTCACTCTTCTGCTGGCTCCCAGCAGTTTCCAACACAAATCTCAGTGTGTCCCTGTGGTCATGGTACTGTCAGGTCATTCTGTGTTTGTACACAAAATGTGCAGCATTATCTGAAAGTAACATTAGCAACAATACAAATAGGAAATAAACAATAATACTTAAGTAATGTTACAGTCTAACACAATAACATAATTAACATGGCCATCTGTTTAATAAGATATGTCTAGATTATATATTTAATGTAACATTAACAACGATAAATATCTGCACTAAAGAAAAGATTACTTCTGTAATGTTACAGTCTAACATAAGCAACATGGCCATCTGTTTAATAAGATATGTCTAGATTATATATTTAATGTAACATTAACAACGATAAATATCTGCACTAAAGAAAAGATTACTTCTGTAATGTTACAGTCTAACATAAGCAACATGGCCATCTGTTTAATAAGATATGTCTAGATTATATATTTAATGTAACATTAACAACGATAAATATCTGCACTAAAGAAAAGATTACTTCTGTAATGTTACAGTCTAACATAAGCAACATGGCCATCTGTTCAGTAAGATAGATTTAAACTAGTGTGGTTCCCACAAGGAGCGATGTGTGAGAGGAGAAACAAGTGTGGTTCCCACAAGGAGGGATGTGTGAGAGGAGAAACAAGTGTGGTTCCCACAAGGAGGGATGTGTGAGAGGAGAAACAAGTGTGGTTCCCACAAGAAGGGATGTGTGAGAGGAGAAACAAGTGTGGTTCCCATAAGGAGGGATGTGGGAAAGGAACAACCAGTGTGGATCCCACAAGGAGGGATGTGTGAGAGGATAAACAAGTGTCGTTTCCACAAGGAGTGATGTGGGAAAGGAACAACCAGTGTAGGTCCCACAAGGAGCGATGTGGGAAAGGAACAACCAGTGTGGGTCCCACAAGGAGCGATGTGTGAGAGGACAAACGAGTGTGGTTCCCACAAGGAGCGATGTGGGAAAGGAACAACCAGTGTGGGTCCCACAAGGAGTGATGTGGGAAAGGAACAACCAGTGTAGGTCCCACAAGGAGCGATGTGGGAAAGGAACAACCAGTGTGGTCCCCACAAGGAGCGATGTGGGAAAGGAACAACCAGTGTGGGTCCCACAAGGAGCGATGTGGGAAAGGAACAACCAGTGTGGGTCCCACAAGGAGGGATGTGTTAGAGGATAAATGAGTGTGGTTCCCAGAAGAAGGATGTGGGAAAGGAACAACCAGTGTAGGTCCCACAAGGAGCGATGTGGCATAGGAACAACCAGTGTGAGTCCCACAAAGAGCTATGTGGGAAAGGAACAACCAGTGTAGGTCCCACAAGGAGTGATGTGGGAAAGGAACAACCAGTGTAGGTCCCACAAGGAGCGATGTGGGAAAGAAACAACCAGTGTGGGTCCCACAAGGAGCAATGTGGGAAAGGAACAACCAGTGTAGTTCCCACAAGGAGCGATGTGGGAAAGAAACAACCAGTGTGGGTCCCACAAGGAGCGATGTGTGAGAGGATAAACAAGTGTGGTTCCCACAAGGAGGGATGTGGGAAAGGAACAACCAGTGTGGGTCTCACAAGGAGCGATGTGGGAAAGGAACAACCAGTGTAGGTCCCACAAGGAGCGATGTGGGAAAGGAACAACCAGTGTGGGTCCCACATGGAGTGATGTGTGAGAGGATAAACAAGTGTGGTTCCCACAAGGAGGGATGTGGGAAAGAAACAACCAGTGTGGGTCCCATAAGGAGGGATGTGGGAAAGGAACAACCAGTGTGGGTCACATAAGGAGGGATGTGGGAAAGGAACAACCAGTGTGGGTCCCACAAGGAGCGATGTGGGAAAGGAACAACCAGTGTAGGTCCCACAAGGAGCGATGTGGGAAAGGAACAACCAGTGTGGGTCCCACAAAGATGGATGAATAAGAGGAGCAACCAATTTAACCATGTGAGTCAAAGTTAGAAATTATTTTATTCTACTGTAGGAAGAAAACATGCAGCTCATTCAATGAGAAACAGCAGAATAAATGGTTTGGTCACCTAGTAAGAATGCAGCCAGAACAACTACCAATGCAGAAATATCTGAAGTAAAACCAAGAGGTCACCCTAGGAGATTATGGATTGATGACATTAAATAGCTTCTACATCAACATGGAATGACAGTAACCATTGTTGTACATCAAGCAATGGATTACAAACTGTTCCTCCCCATGACACTTAATGGCAGAAATAGAAATTGATGATGATGATGATTACTAAAAACAAAATGAATTAAACTGTTATTTTCAAATCATTAGAGGGCTGCAAGTTTGCACACAAATATCTACATTATATAAGCTGAATGCAACATATGAAAACTGAGGTTGGTTAACTAACATACCTTTATAAAAGTCGACTGCGCCTGGTTGGAGAAAATGCCCGTCTGCTTGGACTAGGTGATCGACTGCGCAGGCGGCGACTTGGACTCAGCGATCGAGACCGAGGAGAAAAAGCACGAAATGGGCTAGCTGCACGTGCAGGGCTGCGAGACCTACGAGGTGTACCCTGGCAGGAAATCAAATATCCTTCCATTATTTCACACTAAGGCTATAAATAAAATAAAGGATACTGCCCTGTGTATTGAGATCTGTTAGGTAAATGATGCTAGTTCCATACTTGTATAACTCCACTGGATAATATGAGAATCAACACTGAAAGGACAGAAGTAGTGATAATAACAAGAAAGAGGCAGAACCTAAATATAGCAGTAGAGTACAAAGATGTGAGACATCTCACTTTAAATATCTGGGAACAGCATTCACAGAAGATGGGAAAATGATGAAGAAATTACACTGAAGCTGTAAAGCAAATCAAGTACTGGGACAGCTAGCGCTCATCTTATAGCGATCCTGATCAGCACAAAGAAACATCTCATGCAAAGTATATTCATTCTAACTCTGTGTTACCAGTGCCAGACATGGTCCCTCACAACAAACCAGACAAGAAAATTAGCAACTACTGAAATGAGATGTCTGAGAAGGGCTGAGGAGTGAGCAGAAGAGATCAAAATCAGGCCATAAGTGAAAAATTTAATACAGAATCAATTCTAAATTACATTCAAAGACAGCAAATTAACTAGTTTGCCCAGCTGTAGTGAATGACTTGTGATACCCCACTATACAAGGCATACTCTAAAAGAGGAGAAGGACATAGAGAATGTGGTAGACCAAGAACAAAATAGAAAAATAATAACAGAGAAATGCAATAAAATCACAATGTGCCTATGGTGGTGGTGACCGGAAGAGCAAGAAGCAGAACCTTATATCTCCCTGGACACCTGAGGCAGTAAAAGATGAAGTGAAGAATGAGAACTGGACCTTGGATGAGAGTTCAATGTAATGCCAGCTGCTTTTACTCCCCAGAACACAATGTTTTTACTTTCATTAACTTCTTCCACCTACAACTTGTTGCTTTCCACATAAATGCTGAGTTTGTGAATAAGTACCTAACATGCATGTAAACATACACAAGGATGTCCACTATAGTATTAGACAGTATGAGACGTGCCACTACAGTGCACACTGACTTGACTATAATCCCTTGATGCTTGATAATTGAGTACTATCTCAACTTAGCTGGCTAAAGACACCTGCTAAGCCATGTGATATGTCCTGGGCTTGCCAGTAATGGCTGCTAGACATAAAGTTGCACAGGTCAACACACACATGAGAATATCAGCAGACTTTAACTACCCAGAGCAAAAAGATATCAATTACATAAAAATGGAATGCTTCTCAAAAGAGACCACTCCTGGATGGCTGAGGTTGAAAATTTAATACAGCAGGTATGAGACCTAGAGGGGATCAGTTGTGGAAAAGAATGGAAGGATTTACCAGTAGACATGTGTGACCTAACTAAGGTTGTCAACACTCTGGGGAAGTACTACAGGTTATCAGATTCCTTCAGCTGTAGACACCGAGATAAGGGCACTCATAGATCAGTATTCAGGCTCAGAAGACATCATCATCTACACAAATGAGTCTATGAAGCGCAGGCAAGATCAGCATGGGCCTACACTGCACAAAGGATAGGGAAAACAATAAAAAAGGATAGTGGAATATACCAAGCAACTAAGTCAAGCATGATCATGAAGATAACGGCTGCCTGTAGAGCACTAGCATGGGCAGCAGAAAATGCAGTCACAACACATGCAGTAATCATATCAAACTCCATGAACATGCTTCAGAAAATTGAAACAGGTAATATATGCTCAGAATGGGTAGAAAGCATTTAAAAATTGCACTTAACCTCCCTCACCTGGATCTATACACCTGGCCCTGCTGACGTAAACGCTAGTGAGAGAGCGGACTAACTGGCAAGAAATGCACCAATGCATGAGGTAGAACAGAACAGATATCATCAACGCTGTACGGGCTAGGTCAGGGGAACATTTTGCATCTCACGATTGTGTAACATGGGAGTAATGCATGGTAAAGCAAGTCTATGCCATTGTCCAGCCCGAGGTAAGAGACATTATAACCAGCTCTTCATGGGAATAATCAGTTAAGGTACAGTAGAGTGGCTGCTACATTGGAGCACTGAGCATGCATGGGAAAGCCCAGTGTCCAGTAATGTCAACTGTGATAACCTAACATAACTACATTTTCCTCCCCAAAATACATTTACTGGAGGTCATAAACTGGAATTGGGGAATGACAGGTTTATAAACTTCAACCCTATCTTTAGACTGAATAATGTCAGGACTTACCAAAGATGCTCCTCGGCGAGTCACTGCCTCTCCCTTCACCAGTACTTTGCTTCCCTGCATCAAACATGGCCACACATGGTGATTGACAAGTGGAGCCGTGTACTCAGAATCATAGCTGCGGCGGTATCTGTTGGAAATTATGCAACAATATACTATTACTAATGCTTACATGAATTTTGTTTAAACTGTCTTTGCTGCTTCTAATAGCACTTTTTAGAATGGGATAGGACAGGAAAGTTTTCAGCCTGGGGATTTTGGGTTGCAGGTCTAGTTTAGTTGCCACAAACTGTGCAAGTAAGGATTGTATTTTTGCGGCCAACACAAAAAATCTATTACTTTACTGATTTGAACCTGGGTATCTCAAATGAAAGCCCAGTGATCCTAACAGCTGGGTAAGCTGCTCCTCCTTACTTGAATGAAACAGCAATTATATCAGCAATATAGAACATGCCAGAATCTGAACAAGCAGCAAAGAAGTCCATTTTTTAAACAGTGAACATAAAATGCAACATTTACACAAAAAATGTTATCTACTAACTATTGAAGGAGACTGCAACACTGCTGAATGTATCCAAGCACAATGAAGGTAATCCTTTGCAAATGTCAACCTGAATATTATTTTAATAATTATTTGGCAATGTTCATGTGTCGGCCCCATTTGCTGCAGACTATAAGGTGGCGGGGAGGTGGGGTGGTGGTTAGGGTGAGGGTTAGGGGGGCAATAACGCTGTAACCTGCTAATTTATTACGGAAAAACAACTGAGAGGCCAGTTGGTCTGAGACTGGCCTCCTCCTCTTGTAGAAAACTGCAGCTACAAAACCTAATCAATCATCAACAAATCTATGATGCAGGGTTGCAGCAACTTGGGAACTCCCTCTTCCAATCCAAAAAATATAATTGTGTGCTGGGGAAATGTTAGTTTTAAGTATCTGTTTTCACACTGCATATTTTTTTACCTATGAACCTACTCCCACCCCCTCCCCCTCTCGTTTTTTGTATGTGTCAGTGTCTCTGTGCTGTAGGTCATGACATGAGTCGGCCAAGCGAGCATTTTTTATAAGGAAATGAAAGGCAGATCAAAAATAAAAAGAGAATGTTTATTATGTGGCAAAGTCATTCTGTCATTCACAGATTGTTGTATAGAATGTTAGTACTGATCTTCCCTGCGAGAGTTTTGGGGCATAACGAGTGAAATAAAGAATCGGCTCGCAGCCCGTTAACGAGCATGTTGGGAATTGCAGCTAATTTATAAAAGACTGAAATCGGCCATGTTGGGTTGAAATGCACACAGATCACAGCAAAACTGAAAACCAAAACACAAGGGAAATGTCAGCACACAAGATGAATTACTGGTCTACCCATTCACCTCCATTCTCATTTTTTTTTTTTTTTGGTATATCTGTCAAAAATAAATAACATGCCCTTTAAAATTTGAGTGAATGAATGAGATTCAACCTCACCAAGATATCCACCAAGCGATAAACACCTGGTGATGCAAAGTGCCACCATGCGGAGGAGGATCACCCGTGGAGAGGTCTCAAAAAACCCTTTCAGTCATTATTGCCACATTTGTGGCCCAGCTATATTCAGAGCCCAGGGCAGAAGTCAGGGTGTGGCTTCAAATAATGAAAAATTACATCCCACAAGGGGACAACTTGAATATATATTTGATATTTTGAACAAGATACTTTCCAATAGGCAAGCCAGCTGCGCTCATTATTCTTTATATTTAAACACTCCAGGTTTCCCAGATTATACCGGTTATTTGCTAGAGGACATAACTGTGAAAAAAAGATTCTGTTCATACTGTGAACAAGATACTTTCCAATAGAAAAGCTATCTGCACTCTTTATTCTTTACATTTTAAACACTCTAGATTATTCAGGATATTGCTAAGGGACATAACTGTAAAAATAAGCTGCTATCCGGCACAGTGGTATTCAGTGTATCTTACTGTGAACAACTACAGGTAACCAACCCTATGCTGTCTATCTACTACTGTTTAATATGTACAGCAATAAATTAATTATTTTCAAAATTCTGCAAAAACAATCCATTTTCCATACACAGCCACTGTATGCTGATGTCTGACAATGTAGCAATGTCCTACCTAGGTCTCAGATGCAGTATTCAAAGCCTGCACAGTATTTTAATGTGAATATTTGAAAATGTTCTTGATGCTACTGCTTCATTTGGGAGCACAAGGCGCATCAGCTTAACCACACTGCCCAGAGACTCTGAAGAGAGCGAACTAACTTTTTCTTCTTTTGTCACAACTGTAAGCTCCAGTGGAAAGTCCTGCTGGTTCGTCCACTAGGACTTTGACTTTGTGCCAGGGCCTGAGTTTTGCGTGTGTATCCTTTTTGAAGGCTTATTTGTGTGTAGTTGGTTGTTCCTTGCCGCTTGGGCAGATGCACTCTGACTTTAAAGGAAGTTCCCAATCACAATTATTTGACTCTAATGACATGCTGACTGAAGGAGAAGTAGGTCTATTCTTGTTTCCCCCACAATGGGGAACAGGAACCCACACGAGGAAGTGAACTAAACAAAGGCAGATGATTCACTGAGGAAACTGATAGTACAAGACTGGGGAACTTACTTGGTGTCATCAAACAGTTCTGCGTCAGTGGCCACAGCAATGTCTAAAGGATGTGCCAAGCAGCTCATCTGCCAGGCTAGCTTCACAGCCTCCCTGATAAATGGCTGACAGATGGCGTAGCTGACGTCAGGAGGCAGGAAGATCTTCGGGTTGCGATTCAGGGCTCTGATGACATCCTGGGGATACATCACACAGCTCAGTGACCCAAAATATCTATTTCACACATCTCTGCATTATAAAGCATCTAAATTACATAGCTGTGTGTGAGCATTTAATATACACATTTCTGTGTCATGAAGCGTTTAATACACACAGCTCTTTGTTATGAAGCATCCAGTACACACAGCTCTTTGTTATGAAGCATCCAGTACACACAGCTCTTTGTTATAAAGCATCTAATACACACAGCTCTATGTTATGAAGTATCCAATACACACAGCTCTATGTTATGAAGTATCCAATACACACAGCTCTATGTTATGAAGCATTCAATACACACAGCTCTTTGTTATGAAGCATCCAATACACACAGCTCTTTGTTATGAAGTATCCAGTACACACAGCTCTTTGTTGTGAAGTATCTAATACACACAGCTCTGTTTCATGAAGCATCTAATACACACAGCTCTGTTTCATGAAGCATCTAATACACACAGCTCTGTTTCATGAAGCATCTAATACACACAGCTCTGTTTCATGAAGCATCTAATACACACAGCTCTGTTTCATGAAGCATCTAATACACACAGCTCTGTTTCATGAAGCATCTAATACACACAGCTCTGTTTCATGAAGCATCTAATACACACAGCTCTGTTTCATGAAGCATCTAATACACACAGCTCTGTGTCATAAAACATATGACACACAGAGCTCTGTATCACAGAGCATCTAATACACACTGCACTATTATCAAATTGTAACAACTAATATTTAAAAAATACATTACTGCCTCTAGTTAACACTTTTAGTAAAGGTGTAGGTAGGGGGCACTGTGGGGATGAGAGAGGGCTGAGGGTAATTGTATCAAATCTGAGGATTGAAGGTCTCATGGCTAGTGCAGTTGCCATATACTGTATTGCTGAGGATTTGAACCAAGGTGTATCAAAGAGAGCTTAGCCTCTACCAGCTCTTTTCCAACAAGAGTAACAAACATCAAAATGCACTGGTAACTACATCAAGGTGTTGTGTTAGCAAAGGGACTGTGTGGTTAAGAATTTATAAAGTCCACCTCTGGCTCATGCGAAACTAAATTTAGTCTGTTTTTATTAAGTATAAGAACAGAAAGATATCATCATCACCATCATGTGCTATGCAATAAGTGTTTAGAGGTCAGGGTTCACCATCTCTGCAGCACTATAGGTTTTCCACCTACACATCTAAAAAACAATAGTAAAGCATATTGTTTCTACCTCCCAGTTGTATTTAACAAGGATTATGCAAACATAAGCAAATATGATAAGTGAGTAATATTAACATCATATGTCAATGACAGAGCAATATAAAATAAAAATAAAATGAAACTGGAACAGTTTAAGAAAATTAATAAAAAAAAATTCTTGTAAGATTTCCTAGCAATGTGGCCTGTTTTTAATAAGCTGTAATAGTCGGCGTCTGTGGATTAGGCGTTGGGAACTTGCTTCGTAATGTCAGGGTGCCGGATTCGATCCCAGCTGTGGGTCTTGCGCCTTGTATTGGTTTTGACAGTGGAATCAAGAAGCAGACTGTCAAGAAAGCAATGGCAAACTGCTGGATGTAGAAAATCCACAACAGCCAAAAAATGCTAGGGCTGGTTCTGCAATGTCCTGTAAAGAATACATAACTAACTTACTAGTCTTTAGTTTTGTCATTTTGTCATCTGCCATGAGGGCTATATCTTTGAAATTATTCAGTACTTAACAATTCAGCGTGCATTTAAATTAAAAAAATTAGATAATAGATTTTTCTTATTTCAGTTGTTAAATGAAACCACTCTATCCCAGTTGTTACTTTAACTCTCATGTTCACTAGAGATATTATGAGAACTCCTGCAGATGCACAACCTACTGGTTAAAAGAGGTAACTGCTTTACACAGAAAGAGTTAATATAACAAGTGTCTGGCACACAAGAATTAAAGGACCAGTTGCTTTCCTTCTCTAGCATACATTGTCAATATTTCTGTTACAGACAGGTCTCCTGTTTGTGTTAAAATGTAGCTGAAACAATTTGTTTGTTGGCCTACTCTCAGTGTCTAGCTTGGAAACAATTTGCTTGTTGGCCTACTCTTAATGTCTAGCTTGGAAACAATTTGCTTGTTGGCCTACTCTCAATGTCTAGCTTGGAAACAATTTGCTTGTTGGCCTACTCTTAATATCTAGCTTGGAAACAATTTGCTTGTTGGCCTTCTCTTAATGTCTAGCTTGGAAACAATTTGCTTGTTGGCCTACTCTTAATGTCTAGCTTGGAAACAATTTGCTTGTTGGCCTACTCTTAATATCTAGCTTGGAAACAATTTGCTTGTTGGCCTACTCTCAGTGTCTAGCTTGGAAACAATTTGCTTGTTGGCCTACTCTTAATGTCTAGCTTGGAAACAATTTGCTTGTTGGCCTACTCTTAATGTCTAGCTTGGAAACAATTTGCTTGTTGGCCTACTCTCAGTGTCTAGCTTGGAAACAATTTGCTTGTTAGCCTACTCTCAGTGTCTAGCTTGGAAACAATTTGCTTGTTGGCCTACTCTCAGTGTCTAGCTTGGAAACAATTTGCTTGTTGGCCTACTCTTAATATCTAGCTTGGAAACAATTTGCTTGTTGGCCTACTCTCAGTGTCTAGCTTGGAAACAATTTGCTTGTTGGCCTACTCTTAATATCTAGCTTGGAAACAATTTGCTTGTTGGCCTACTCTTAATATCTAGCTTGGAAACAATTTGCTTGTTGGCCTACTCTTAATATCTAGCTTGGAAACAATTTGCTTGTTGGCCTACTCTTAATATCTAGCTTGGAAACAAATTTGCTTGTTGGCCTACTCTCAGTGTCTAGCTTGGAAACAATTTGCTTGTTGGCCTACTCTTAATATCTAGCTTGGAAACAATTTGCTTGTTGGCCTACTCTTAATGTCTAGCTTGGAAACAATTTTCTTGTTGGCCTACTCTTAATATCTAGCTTGGAAACAATTTGCTTGTTGGCCTACTCTTAATATCTAGCTTGGAAACAATTTGCTTGTTGGCCTACTCTCAGTGTCTAGCTTGGAAACAATTTGCTTGTTAGCCTACTCTCAGTGTCTAGCTTGGAAACAATTTGCTTGTTGGCCTACTCTCAGTGTCTAGCTTGGAAACAATTTGCTTGTTGGCCTTCTCTCAGTGTCTAGCTTGGAAGGATTTTTAGTGAGGACAGTGTGCCCTTGTTTGCCCAGGTCAAAACTGTACAGGCAGCTAAGGTTGTGAGAGCAGGAGTCTGTAACAATTACAATAGGCAGGCCTGCTTTCAAGCCATCAGAAAAAAGTGGTCATTGAAAGAAAGTCTCTACACTAACTTTAGCCTACCAGCCAACTATGTGAAGCTCATAATCAGTTCATATAAATAACATAAACACATTTCAAACTACTTACAGATACCATGCCTGGAAGGTCATAAAGGTCAGTGTTGCGGTTAATGTAGTCTTGAACAGCTTCCTCCAGCGTCTCAGGGCCATAATGAGTCTTTGCCAGGTTAGCTCGAGTTTTCATCTTAAACTGACGGAACTCCTGCTTGGCCACATTAAACGCTTCCTGTTTTAACATTAACAAATGTTTACGATGAAAGTACATTTGTTTATGGATTGTTGATTCCCAGTATCATGATATAATACACAGCAACAAATGACATAGCTGTAAGATTGATTATATACAATTAATCAGCTTATTCTGATGATTTAATAAAACCTGACTTACTGATGAATGAAGTGACAGTTTGATAATCTGACTACAATACTGACAACTCCAACAAACAGACTGGTAAACTGGCAACTATATAGAATGACTGACTAACAACCTGATTGCAAAATTAAGTTTGACTGATAAATAAGATCTTGACTGACAAACTGAGAATTTGACTGATATTGTGAAACACAAACTGATAACATTTTGACATAACTGGCTAAAACATGACTGATATTCTGACAACCTGACTTACTGGCATACTGACTGATAGTCTAACTGACACAATAATTTCTATACTGACAGAAAAACATGACTGATATACTGACAACTGACTGATGGTTTGACTGGTAATGTGACTGGCATACTATCAACTTTAGTGACATACTGACATGTCAACTGACAACCTGGCAGAAATATTGTCTACGTGGCTGATATTTTAACTACCAGTGCAATATATTCAGAACTGAAATGGGATCATCATCATCAGGTGCCTTGCCGACTGGCGTAGGCGATCATGCCTCTCCACAATCCGCAATCTCCTGCAGCATGTATCAGTTCATGTGCTGACACACCTCCATGACATGCAACAAGACTGTCAAGAATCTTCTCTCATTTTCTTCCTCTATTCCTCCTTCCACAAATCTTTCCAGTGGTCACAACATGTTCCATTTTCCCTCTTCTCACAACATGGCTGAAAAATGATGACTGTCTCCTTCTGATATCTGTGATAAGTTGTCTTTGGGCTCCTGCCTCTTTCAAAACCTTTAGGCTGCTCTTCTTGGCTGTCCAAGGTATTTTAAACATTCTTCTGTAAAACGACATCTCTGAGGCCTCAAGAAATTGTGTGGCCTGCCTACCGATTGTCCAGGACTCACAGCCATATGTCAAAACTGGATACAGATTTTTAAAATCCCGACACAATTTGACTGACAATTTACACTACTGACAACAGACTAGCAAATTGGCAACAAACAGCTAGTAAGGTAACTAAATGTTTGATAACATTTCATGGTTTTAATCACAACCAGGGAGTGATATAAGAGGAAACTATAGCAGCACCGTAGATGGCCAGTTTGCCTGCCAGATGTGTGGTCATATCTGAGTTAGGGACTTGTTTTCACCAATCTGGACCAGCATCACCCATCACATGCAGATTTGTCAACAAAAAACAAAATGATAGCACCATATACCCCAAATACTTCCAAGTGTCTTCTTCTTCTGCATTCACCCTGTAAAAGGTTTTTGGTACAATTTGTTGCAGTTTACAAGCAGGCTGCGATATCTGCAACTTTGGGCCCAAAATATCCAATTTCATCAAACCCTTAACTACAGCTTTGCTGTCTTGTCCGATTTATTTTCCAGTCACATCTTGTGTTTTATTTAGTACTCCAATGATTAAGACTTTGGTCCAAACATTCGGTTGTATTGGTATACATCATATCCTTTTCCTTGACTGAGCTTTCTAGTCATATTCTATGCTGTACTTTAGCACTCCTTAACTACTTGCCTTGTAAGACATGCTTGTTAAGGGGCAATTATCCTAACACCCCCCCACCCCCCAAATAGGGCCATGGAACCCATACCAGGATTTTCAGTATGTAAAAAAGGGATTTTTCAATGACTTTATTGAATATGGATATGAATGTGATAGCAAAGTTCTGAACAGACTGTGGCCTGACCTGAATGATAGCAAAACAGATGCGCTGATTGTTCTCGTTGTCATCTGAGTATCTTCTCAGTGTGTCCATGGTAGTCAGCCGGTCCTGGGCAAACATATCATTGAAGCGAGCAATGAGGTTCTGCTGTCGGATACGCTGAATGGTGTCATCAATTGACAGTGGAGAGGTTGGCCCTGGAATGTATCTGTAGTGCAGGCTCAAGTCACTGGAGATACAAAACAAATAACATGATATTTTTTGTTTCACTTTAAATTGTGTGAGGGAATTTGTTTTCCCTAATTAGTTTTCTCTCTCTGTTTTCCTAATTAATCGGCATCTGTGGCTTAGGCAGGCAAACGCACTTCATAATGCCAGGGTGCCTGGTTCGACCCCAGCTGCGCATGATCTGTCTTGCGTTCGTTTCAACATTTGTACCAAGAGCTGACAGTTCAGAAACAGTTGCAAACTACTGAACGTAAAATTTGCCTAAAAAAACCACAACAGCTAAAAGAATGCTGGATCGGTTCTGCAACGTCCTGTAAAGAATATGCATATAAAATTTGTTAAAATTAGTTTTATATCGATATGTACAGTAAAACTGTGTTTAGCAGATATTGTTTGCCAATGTCAACAAGAAAGACTTGCTTTGCTTGTAAAGAATTGCTTATATACTGCCAGTCTGGACATGAATATTGTTGCTTTATGGCAAAATGCTAGAAAAGTTGTGGTGAAGACAGTGATGTCACACCTAGAAAGAATGGGCATACTACTGGACACCATGGGCAGCTATAGGTCATCAAAGGCAACATGGGACAATTCTGGTACGTTTGCATATGTTGTGTATGAAGGATTTCAACGAAAGCAAGAAACAGTTGCTGCAATGATAGAACTCAAAGATGTCTTTAACAGCGTTGACTTCACAAATTTTTTGCAATACATGATGGACTGTGGTGTGAACCTTTGGTTGGCCGACTGAATGGGGGCAGCACTGATGAAAAGAAATTTGGTATTTTCTTCGGGAACATGCAGATCGGATCCAATATGCATCTGCCCTATCCGTTCTCTGGAATAACCATTGTCACCTGTTTTTTCAACACATATTCAGCAAGTCTTGCAAAAAGTACAGCTGGCTGGCCAGGGCAAACCTCAACATTTGCAGCTGATCTGTGGGGTCCTAATGGAGCAATGATGCGCAATGCGAGACTCTTTATGTCTATTAGCCTCTCTTGCTCAAGCCTACCTCACCTTCACGTGGTGGACCCTGTTCTTCCCAGCAATCCAGTTAAATGTTGGGATCTCAACCCCCAGCGGGAAACTGGATGTGACAACAAACAAGGTAAAGGCGAAGGGATGAGCCTACTCTCCCTCTCAAGAGATCCTGAAGTCGGAAATACTGGGCCAGAAGGCGGATCAAAAACCACAGTACTACGCAACCCCACGCTATATTTATGATTACACCGCAGACAAATTTAATGTTGGTGCTTGCCCTGTGGAGCTCCACCAGGCAGGTGCAGTGCCGGGTTCTGAGCCTCAACAGAATCCACCCCCCAGCTACTGGAGGACCTCCTCGACCGTCTTGTGGAGTCGGGAGACGGCGGAGGATAGCTACTGACCAAAACTAGTTAGACAGAAAAGATCCCAAATTGCCTTTTGTCATAATGCACTGGAATGCAGAGGGGGTCAGCAGTAAGCAGGCTGGCTACAGCAAAAAGATGGAGCTGGAAAACACTCTCTATGAAAAGCATGTCAGTGTATGCAGCATCCAATAGACCCATTTGCAGGCAGATCAGATATTTAAAGTGAGAGGCTACCAGTGCTTCAGATCTGATAGACAAGGCAGGCGAAAAGGAGGAGTACTTACCCTTGTAAAAAATAGTATCCATCCATGTGAGAAAATGTCTTATATGGATGGAGCTGAGTACCGAGTCCTGCAGCTTAAGACAGACAAAGTGGAATTAGACCTCCTCAACTACTACTGTCTCAATGACAAATCGTTAGCCTCAGCTCTGTGCTGGTACCAGATACCAATTTTATTGCAGTTGGAGACTTCAACAGTCATTCACAGAGCTGAGGCTATAACCATCTCGACAAGATGGAACTACAAGAAAGCCAACTGGGGTCTGTACAGACACAGAACAAGCACACTGTTGTCTGCTGCTCAAGGTACAAAATAGGGATATCAATGCTATAGTGCACGATTTCAATAGAAGTGTTCTTCAAGCTGCAAAAACAGCAATCCCCAGAGGTTGTCGACACAACTACAGACCATACTGGTCCAGCACACTCCAGGAATGTCAGGAAACAATGAATCAGGCTAGATAGGATGCAGAATCCCAACCTTCACCTGACAACCACATCAAATGGAACAAGGCTGTAGCAGTGTTCCAGAGAACTAAACTTGAAGAAAAACGGAAAAGCTGGAGAAATAAAACAGAAGCTCTAAACTTTGATAAAGATGGCAAGAAACTGGAGATTAGCCAAATCACTCAATGAAGAGAGTTTCTCTCCTAGACAAACAATCACGCTAAGTGATGGTGGCAAAATCTTCAGAGGAAAACAAGCTGCAGATTTGTTTGCCAGAACATATAGTGTTGAAAGCAACCTGACCCTTAATGAGGACCATCAGAGAGAAATAAGGAAAGAAATACAAACAAATAAGAGACAGACAGATACTCCTGCCTCTATGAGGGAGCCATTTACCATGGGTGAACTACAAAATGCCATCTCCAGACTTAAGTTAAAAAAAGTCTGCAGGTCCAGATGAAATCAGCAACAAAATGCTGATCAACCTGAGCTCATCTGCTAAAGTAAAGCTGCTGGAAATTTTCAACATCAGCTGGGAGAAAGGTTTAGTGCCTCAAGTATGGAGAGAAGCCATCACAATACCCATTTTAAAAAAAGGAAAAATTAAGACCCAGGCTTCGAGCTATCGCCCAATTAGTCTCACAAGCTGTGTAGGAAAGACATTGGAAAGAATTGTAAATTCAAGACTGAAATGGCACTTAGAATCTGAGCAGATCTTGGTGCCAGAGCAGGCTGGATTTAGGGAATGTCACAGCATAGAAGACCAAGTCACCTACCTGTCACAAGCTGTAGAGGATGCCTTACAAGAGAAGAAAAAGGTCCTGGCGGTATGGGTTGACTTCAAACAAGCTTTTGACAGTCTGGATGGTCTCATTACAAAACTGAAGAGAAATGGTGTCCAAGGAGACATGCTAAAATGGATCCAATCCTTCTTACACAGCAGGAGAAACTAGAGTTAGTCTTGATAGCCAGCAGAGCAGAAAAGTGTTACTTCGGCAAGAAGTACCACAGGGAGGAGTTATCTCTCCAACTCTCTTTCTTGTTTATTTATATAAATAATCTGGTAAAAGACCTCCCTACAGGAGTAAAAGCTGCCCTGTATGCAGATGATCTGGCACTCTGGTGTACCGATGAACACACCACAGTGGCAAATATAAGAATGCAGCGAGCAGCAGATCTCTTGATGACATGGGAAGAGAAATGGCATGTTGCTATCAACACAGACAAAACATCCACAACACTTTTCTCTCTTTTCCCCAGGGACAAAGCTGCTAGTATTTCACTTAGGAACATCATTGCTAAAGGAAGAAAGCTTTCCCACTTATCTTGGAGTAACATTTGATAAAAGGCTCACATTGAGCAAACATATAGAAAATGTAGAAGGGAAGGCCAGGAGACGACTAGGCCTACTTAGAAAACTGGCAGGTACAGGATGGGGGGTGAATGGAAAAACCCTAAAGAAAGTTTATAATGGAGCGATAAGACCCCACTTGGAGTTTGGTGCAACAGCATGGTCAACAGCTGCTAATTCCCATCTACAATCGTTAGACACAGTGCAAAATCAAGCTCTTAGACTCATCACAGGATCCATGAAAACTGCACCAATCCTGGAGATGCAGAAAATAACTGCAATGCAGACATTGTCCTATAGAAGAGACACTAAAAGTATGATTCAGATGGAGAAGTTTAATAGTATGCAGTCACACCCAATGAATGGAAGGTTAGATGATCTGGCATTGGGGCGTCTCAAACGTAGCAGCTTTGTCCATCGGGGGGAAAGACTTAGAAGACAGTATCAAGCTGATCTACCTATTAGAACAACACCGCTGAAACCTACCCTATACCCTGTACCTTGGGAGCAAGTCAGTGATACAATACAGATAATGACTTCAGTCAATGGATTCACAACTGGAGGTGAGTCCAATGACCTTCTAAAATAAACAGCTGCTCTTAGCATGATTCACGAAAACTATCCCGAACAGTCATGGATACATGTTTACACAGATGGATCAGCAACCAGTGCGGTTAAAAATGGGGGTGCTGGAGTCTTTATTACATACCCAGGCAACCACCGCCACACAAAGTGGATACCCACTGGTAAATTCTGTTCCAACTACACAGCAGAGATCGTAGCACTAGAGCAGGCTGCCGAAATGTTACACAACACCAGTTCTGACTGCCACCAAGTGGTCATATTCACAGATGCGCTATCAGTGCTTCAAGCCCTCAAGAGTGGCAAACTCCCTCACCTAAGATCTGAACTTGGCAAGGTGGCTGCTTAAAAGTGTACTGTACTCCAGTGGGTGCCATCCCACTGTGGTATACCAAGAAATGAAACCGCAGAGCAACTGTGATCACATGAGAGTGGGGCCTTGCGGCACTGAAGACACACAGGAAACAGAGTCTGTTGGTTTTATTGTTCAACCACCCAGTTATTTCAGCCTGGACATTTTAACACTATCCACTTCCCAGTCTGCAAAACTTAAAGGATTCAAAATGAAGGAATGCGAATTGTCATGAGATACACCAATAAGAACAATGAAGTATTTGCTTGGTTTGACACAGGTAAAGTCTAGACTGTCACCGAACAAACCAAGGCATACATGCCAGTTACCCATGAAGAAAGATATCTGCTGCATGGCAATCTTAATGATTTTAAAGAAGACTGGTTGAAATCAGGAAAGATATAGATGGAACTAGCTGAAGGTACTCAGACGAGCAAATACTCAGGGGGCAGGTCATTATCACATTAGGAAGACAATGTGAGAGAGTGGTGTAATGGTACGGTAAAATTGGAGGTTCAATTGACAGATGAAAATTCTGGGCTAGATGATGCAATAATGTACACCGATGGTTCTGTACATCAGGTTGAAAGATCTAGCTTGGGGTTTTCACCTAGAGTGAAGGGAAAGATTTAATTTGTATCTACAACTTCAAACATAAGAATGGAGGTGAAGGCAGTCACCGCAGCTCTGAGGTGGACAGCAGAAAATAGTAACCAGAAGAACAGTAACTGATTCTCGGTCGGTACTGCAGAATACTCAAAAGTGACAAATGTTGCATTAGTGAATACCAAGCTTTCAGCACGTCAGCATTACAGGGACTCACATGGATATACTTCCAGGATATGCAGGAGTGCAAGGCAATGAAGAAGCAAAAATTATGGCTACAAAAGCTATAGCTGTGGAAACGCTTGTACTGGACAAATACGATGTTCTGAAGACCATTTATAAACGAATGTTGATAGAAGACATGAAGTAAGATGAAAAAAACATGTGTAGGAATGAGTGAACATGGAATTAGGTTCCATGGAGGTGCTGGAGTTTCAACTTTGAGGTATATATGAGAAAAAGAGAACAACTGTGTATAATCAAGTACTACAGCACATTTAGCATCTACACCTTGAGATATCTGCTGCTGGAGAAAATGTATCTACACCTTCAGATATCTGCTGCTGGAGAAAAATCATGTATAGGTATGCCCAGTGTATTATCATGTTGATTCTTAAATCAGTAATCAACAATCACTTCATACATGCCTACTTTAGGGTATTTGGTATACAGGGATAGACCTATATTTTATAGACCAAACGTCACTTGGTGGGTGATGTGGTCAGCATTACGCTGGCCGCCTTTACTTCACAGGACTGTATCTGGTACCCACTCAAAGCTGGACCTGAATCCAGGACCATCTGATCTGAAGGTGAGCGCCTAGCAGTAGCTCCCAAGTCATACATGTACCTTCATCATTTGTTTCCTTTTTTTTTTTTTTTGATACCTACACAGGATGCATAAAACAAGAGATCATTTACTGGCCATGATGTGGTTTTACCAGAAAATGTTAAGTTCAGTAGTTTGTCATTGCCTATTTATGACAGCATTCATAAAACTGTTCAATTCAGTGTAACATGGTCTTCTACCAACTCATCTGCAGCAATGTATTGAGTGTTTTTAAACAGTTTAATGCACAGAACAATATTTAAGGATATAACTAGAACCTACAGACTGTGTATACAAGACATGCCAATGCTACTGAATCTTATGAAAGAAATACAATGATCTAAAGATGTCACTAACACTTAGAGACTGTGAGTCGATTTTAAAACAAATCTTCTGCAAGAAACATACAAATGTAAGGATGTAATGAGCACTTACAGACTGTGCATAGAATACTAGAGATTATGTACAGAATACAACCGATTGTGTTGTAGAATACTAGACACTGCTGAAGTTAACTGAGAAGCTAAATGAGAAGATCACCTTGTTTCAACTTTACTGTTTCTGCTATTGTCATACCTCAGCTTGTCATCCCAGTTTGTCCGCTCATATGATGACAAGATGTCAGGGGACTTTGTCAGAACATCACGACGGGCAGACAACAAGGCAATGTCATCTCGCAGGCGACGGATCTCAGTTTGGTAGTCAGCCAGGAGGCCAGACTTGGATCGCAGCAGTCTAACTTCCTCTTCTGCTGCTGCAAGCCTGTGAGGGGACAAGATCCAGTTAACATAAGCTGTAACAAAGGTGGACAGTGGCTAAACACTCAAGTGAAGGTCTTTGGTTTGACTAGGCATCAAGGCAGATTTTTATAATTCAGCCAGGGTTCCCAGTTCAACTCAACCTAAAATTGGTACTAGGAACTGTCCAGGAAATTAAAGATGCCAGGCACTGTTGAGCACATCATCCACAGAGCAGTCAGTGGTCTATACAACTGTGGGTCTAGCTCTACATGCCAGGCACTGTTCAGCACATCATCCACAGAGCAATCAGTGGTCTATACAACTGTGGGTCTAGCTCTACATGCCAGGCACTGTTCAGCACATCATCCACAGAGCAATCAGTGGTCTATACAACTGTGGGTCTAGCTCTACATGCCAGCACTGTTCAGCACATCATCCACAGAGCAGTCAGTGGTCTATACAACTGTGGGTCTAGCACTACATGCCAGCACTGTTGAGCACATCATCCACAGAGCAGTCAGTGGTCTACACAACTGCGGGTCTAGCACTACATGCCAGCACTGTTGAGCACATCATCCACAGAGCAGTCAGTGGTCTACACAACTGCGGGTCTAGCACTACATGCCAGCACTGTTCAGCACATCATCCACAGAGCAGTCAGTCGCCTACACAACTGTGGGTCTAGCACTACATGCCAGCTCTGTTCAGCACATCATCCACAGAGCAGTCAGTGGTCTATACAACTGTGGGTCTAGCTCTACATGCCAGCTCTGTTCAGCACATCATCCACAGAGCAGTCAGTGGTCTACACAACTGTAGGTCTAGCATTACATGCCAGCTCTGTTCAGCACATCATCCACAGAGCAGTCAGTGGTCTATACAACTGTGGGTCTAGCTCTACATGCCAGCTCTGTTCAGCACATCATCCACAGAGCAGTCAGTGGTCTATACAACTGCGGGTCTAGCACTACATGCCAGCACTGTTGAGCACATCATCCACAGAGCAGTCAGTGGTCTATACAACTGTGGGTCTAGCTCTACATGCCAGCTCTGTTCAGCACATCATCCACAGAGCAGTCAGTGGTCTATACAACTGTGGGTCTAGCACTACATGCCAGCACTGTTCAGCACATCATCCACAGAGCAGTCAGTCGCCTATACAACTGTGGGTCTAGCTCTACATGCCTGATGTGGCAACAGTGTGAGAATGGTCCTTCGTGTTGTTGTTTTTGCAGGAAAGCAGACCTGGACCACAACAGTTTTACTTCATCTTCTGTCCCTGCAACCTGCTTAAGGAACAGAATACAGTCTACATAAATATTAGTCAATCAGCTGAGCTCTGAATATGATGATCCCATCACAGCAAAGAGCTTCATATATACGCATCAGTACGAGGTTCTTTAGCAGCTTCTTTACTCACTGACTTTCTTTCCCAGACAACTCTTTAGTGCCAATGTTACAAATCTGGGTCAAGTACAGATCTACATAAAATACAAATTAGAAACATATCTTGAACTGCAATGTATTTAAGGAAGTCTTGCTCACCACCATTCCTTGGCAAAAGAACTATACATTTCACAAAGCCACAATGGTTGAGTGAGCTGTGGCAGTGCAGTTGCCAGCCCATTTGCTCGGTGATCATCATCAAGTACCTGGCTAACTGGCATGGACAATCATGCCTCTGCACAATCCTCAATCTTCAGCAGCAAGTATCAGTTTGTGTGCTGACACTCCTCCAGGCCATGACAAAAGACTGTCAAGAATCTTCTCATCTTGTCTTCCTCTCTATTTTCCACTGATCTTTCCAGTGGTCACAACATGTTCCAGTTTCCTTCTTCTCATTACAAGGCGCACAAAATTATGAATGTCTCTTTCTGATATTTGTGATAACCTGCCGTTGAGCTCCCATAACTTTCAAAATATCTATGTTGCTATTGTTTGGCTATCCAAAGAATTCTAAACATTCTTCTGTAAAACCAAATCTCTGTGGCCTCAAGAAACTGTCTGGCTTGTGTATCTATTATCCAGGATTTTCAGCCGTATGCTAAAACTGGCTCTATATAGCATGTGAGAATTTATTTTTTCTAACCTTCATTTTATAAAATACAGTTTTAGCTTTTCTATTCTGTTTTCATCTCTATGATAGATTTTCTGTTGAATGTTTTCTATTGATCAGACATCATATCAACATTAAAGCTTACATTGTAATTTTGAAATACTGACCTGGATTTCACCAATCTAACATGCAAAGCTATAAAGACAAAAAATGATCATTTTCCAAGCATTAAAGCATATTGGGCATATAGGGCTAGACCTATATTTTAAAGACCAGTTGGCACTCCATTGGTCACCTTTATTTCCTAGGACTTTATCTAGTACCCAATTGAGGCCGGGTCGACCTGGAAGCCAAGGTCATGTTTAAAAAAAGGAGTAAAACAAAACTATTGTGAGAACAACTGAAGTTAGCTTGACATGACACTGATCCCATCAGCCATCCATCCCAACTGGTCTGCTGTAATGGCACTGATCCCATCAGCCATCCATCCCAACTGGTCTGCTGTAATGGCACTGAGATGGCAGCAGATACCCAACATGCCTTAGACATGAAAAACTGCCATCTATTTACTATTTTATGCTGATGAAGAAAGTAATCTTTTCATTGCAGGGGATTTAGCTCCAGACAAATAAGTTGATACGCCAATTTATTTAATATTAACAATTTATTTAACATTAGCAAGTCACTTAACATTAACAATTCACTTAACATTATCTATCTGCAGCTGTACTTAGAACCAACAGTTCTGCACAACCTGGTGGTGAAACCTTTGGCAGCGAGTGAACAGTGTGGAGGCACAGTTGGATCATCATGCATGGTGTGAAGAGAATGGTACTGCGAGGAGTGACCAGGGGATCTAGTCAACTATCAGCACTCAAGGGAAAGGTGAGACAGATATACAACCAGACTGCTAGTGGTACCACTAGAATTATAACTCTAAGCTTGCTGCTAGAGATGAGGACGGAGCGCTTATGGGAAAATCCCGAGTGCTGTGGTGTCGATTCTTAATTAACCATTAAACATTATACCCAGTCACAGGGAGAGAACCTCATTTATCTGTCATGCTGGCATACTGATGATATGGTGTTAAGCTAGCAATGTTGTCTTGACTACACAAGCCTCGAGGGTTATGTGGTTGATCTTGCATCAGCTAGGTTATCTACCAAACAGTTTACCACACAGTCTTGTAGAATTTGCTCTATATTTTGATTGAGGTGTTTATAGCTATCACTGAAAGCCTGTGGTTTGGAATCTTTATAGCAGTGGTCAGTTTGTAGAGATAGAGAACATTCCATAAGTGTAAGTATAAAAGATACAAGTTTAGCTGAAATCTATAATCCTTTTTTCAACAAGAAAAAGAAACAAGAAAAAGATAACAATAAACAAGAATCCACTCACTTTCTTTTCAAATCATTGACCTCCAGTTCAGTGAACATCTTCTCACTGCTGGAGGTCCTGAGGCTCCGGTCCAGCTCCAGCTTGGTCTCTTGTAGCCTGTGAGCACACAGGTAGGTTAGTGCTTTCTCCCACACACACAGTTGTTGTGTCAGTGGTTAAACTCTCTCCCTCTCTCTTTCATACCTCTCTCTCTTTATCTTTCATCCCTCTCTCTCTCTCACTCACTTCTACTACATCTCTCTTTTTTATCTGTATATGTGTGTGTCTCTCTATACCTCTTTCTTTATCTCTTACTGTCACTCACTCTCTCTCTCTCTCTCTCTCTGATTCTGTCTCTATTTATGCCAGTCTACATCTCTGCTCTGTCACTCTATCTTAAGCATGTCTCTCAGTCTGCCTTCCTCTGTCTGTCTATCCCTCTCCAATCCACCCCCCCCCCCCCCCCCACGTTATGATAACTGTCTGGAACAGAAATAACCTTATAGCAATAGTGGTTTTTTTTTTATTTTTTATTAATGTCTAGGATCAAAAATGCAGACAGGACAGCTGAAATGCCCTCTTGTTTAGGCTATTTTAATTTGCTTGGTTTCAGTTGGTTAATTTAGAGAAATTATCAATCACTCTTTCCTCCTTTTTTTTCCCCCCGTTTGTTGTTATTTACGTTAGTTCATAAACCATGTTATTTCCAGATGAACGGCATCTTGCTCCAGACATGTGATTCATACTAATTTCAAGCAGAAGTTGGTGACTTTTAACAATTTATCTTTTCTATGTAATAAATAGCCTTGCTGTTAAAACAAACAGTTAGAATGAAAATTCACACAGTTGCTCTCTTTCCTTATGAGATGATGAATAACTTACTAATTATATTTTGATTTCCACACAGATAGAAAATACTGTAAATCATCACATAAAAAACCAACATATACTTAAATACCAGTTTATTTCACAATGTAATCTTCATTCACTTGTTATATACACTTTCTACATCTATTTTACTTATTGTTTATAAAGGGTAATAACTCTGTGCTCATCCTCAAGGAAAGATTTTGTACTTAAGGTTTTCTCCCTTGGTTTAAGCTGCTTCAATGTAGAAACATGACTAGAGGATGAGTTCTATGAGTTCTCCCTGAGCCAGAGTTCACAAGCAGACAGATACCATGCTGTTCCAAGCAGACAATAATCAGTGCTTGCAAAAAGAGAGAAAATAAGTTGTTTTCACATTGCTTTCGATGAGAGTGATTTCCTCTTACCAAAAAATAGTAAATTAAAGAGCCATTGTCATGCCACTGGTACAACAGACACTATGGTGCTAGACCCCTATTTTTACAGTCCAATCAGCACTCAATATGTGATGTTAAAAACAGCCATCTTTACTTTTCAGGACATTTCCTAGTACCCATTTTAGAGTGAGTCAGGTGGGAAGCCCAAAACATTTTTAAAATTTAACATCAATGTGTATGTGAACCCAAGAACTTTAGGTTGGCGAGCAAGCATTAAGCCTCTATGCTACACCAACTACCCTATGTCCACACTGACTGCACTGAAAGCTTCAGGCATCCCAAGTTGCCTGACAGCATTCACTTTCACTATTACCTTTGCTTGGGTAAACTAACAGTAAATAAATGGACTCACTCATCTTTCAAGTCCTGGTTCTCAGCTTTGACATTCTGAAGCTCGATTTCAAGCTCGTCCAAGGACTTCTCATAAAGCTCCTGCAACTCAGACAACTCCCGATCTTTGGCCGTAGCCTCTGCCAGCACACTGAGGCTGGTGTCAGCAGTGACAGCACCTCCTGATGTGAAGAAGTTCTGCCCCAACCAGGGCAGCAGCCTGGACTTGATGATGTTTGCTCCCCCATACAGTCCACCTGTGGTCACAACAATATTACTGGTGACATGAATCAAGATGGTTTGCTCAGTATCTGTACTCTGTAACTCTGTTGTGCTAGAGATATTTTTAGTCTCTGCCATTCTCCAAGGGGATTCCAGGGTCTTGTTCTGGGGAGGGGGAGAAGGGGAAAAGACCTGTTGCCCACTAATAAGCATGAGATATGACTAATTATGGGTGTTTCCTTTGAAGTGTGAGTGCCTCTATGAAATACTTAAGAAAACACTTGGTAATCACTGTAAAGTGTCATCAAAACTTAGACTATATCTATTACAAAAAAAGTGGAAAATAGCACCCACAAAAAAACTTTCAAAACTTATTTTCTGATTTACTGATATATTTTCAATATCTATCACTGCTTTCAGTGAAAACAAAACAGAATACACTTGTAACTGTTTTACTACTATTCGAAGTTGAAACCAATCAATAATGTCTTGAAAACCAAACGTCTCTAAAGCCATTGGGCAAATATGGAACAGAAACACAATACCTATCATGAGGCAGCAAAGAAGGGTTGGCATGTGATGAATACCTTGTACTGAATTAAACTTAAGCTTCAGAATCAACATAATTATAAGCAATAAGGAGTTGAGGTGAGTCATGCTTACACTATAACTGAAGATAAAAGGTAGGAAATATAACTAACTTACATTACTGTCAGGTTTGTACATGTTAATAATAATAATAATATAAATTAAGAAACAAGAGAGGATTGCACACACTTATATATACGTTATGTACTCTATCCATATCACTAATACTATCGATATCCATAGTTCTGATACTCATATCTATCCATATCACCAAAACTATCTATATCCACAGTTCTGATACTCATGTCTATCCATATTACTAATACTATCTATATCCACAGTTCTGATACTCATATCTATCCATATCACTAATACTATCTATATCCACAGTTCTGATACTCATTTCTATCCATATTACTAATACTATCTATATCCACAGTTCTGATACTCATATCTATCCATATCACTAATACTATCTATATCCACAGTTCTGATACTCATTTCTATCCATATCACTAATACTATCTATATCCACAGTTCTGATACTCATATCTATCCATATCACTGATATTATCTATATCCACAGTTCTGATACTCATATCTATCCATATCACTGATATTATATATATCCACAGTTCTGATACTCATATCTATCCATATCACTACTATCTATATCCACAGTTCTGATACTCATATCTATCCATATCACTGATATTATATATATCCACAGTTCTGATACTCATATCTATCCATATCACTGATACTATCTATATCCACAGTTCTGATACTCATATCTATCCATATCACTGATATTATATATATCCACAGTTCTGATACTCATATCTATCCATATCACTAATACTATCTATATCCATAGTTCTGATACTCATATCTATCCATTTCACTGATAGTATCTATATCCACAGTTTTGATGCTGTATCTGTCCACACCTCTGACACTGTATCTACTCATATCTCTTATACTGACAAACACTGGATTACCTTCCTGTGCACATAGACTCAACAGTTTGAACAACTGGCCTTGAACTTTGGCGTTTAATTCAATGATCTCACAGCAACGGGCAGTGTTCTGGTCACATGTGTTGATCTGTTTACATATAATACAAGAAATCAGACTTCATACACTAAGGGAGTTAAGTGTGAGAGACAGGGACAGAGGAGCAAACACACATAAACACACAGAGAAAGAGAGAGAGTGAGTGAGTGAGAAAGAGAGAGAGACAGACAGACAGAGACAGACAGTCAGACAGACAGGCTGGCAGGCAGACAGACAGGCAGGCAGACAGACAAACAGACCTTTACTATCTCTCTCAATCTGGTGTCTGTTTGGCATTCACAAGGATTTATTTAACTAATTTTTTTTTTTTTTTTTTTTTGCATACATTTTGTTCAGCTCAAATTAATAATGGATTTTTAATAACAGTTTACATATTGGTGCTGTGCCATATACTTTGAGATAATCAATTACTATCAATGACTACAGCCTGGAAGAGACAAAATAATAGCTTCTAGTTACACATCTATAATTCTTGCAAGCTACCTCTGCATGACTTTAGGACATTTCCTTAACTTCTGGTATGACAACTGCAAAGTTGAAATTTTCTAGCACCATAACATGCAAGTTTGTCTGTACAGAAGATCAGATCATTTACCTCTCTCAACTATTTGGACATGAAAAACAAACAATGGAAGTATTAAAATTTCGACATCTCAAAAATATATTATGGTCTTTAATGTCTGTATCTGCCATGTTTTAGGGCGCTGTATGACAGTTGGATCTAGTGCAGCTACCACATACTCTGCAGGTTAAAATGTTTATTTCTGCCCACTCTACCCAACCCCCTCCCCATTCCATACTCAAACTCTCACAATCATCACTGTATACCTGGTCCGGCAGGCACTGATTAATCATCAAAACACTGACAGAACATACAAGAAAAAGCATTATCAGAAAAACAACAAGGACAAAACGCAAGGAAGAAGTATCAACACAATGTGAAAGAACAAGTTCTTGCACATTGTAAAGAACAAGCGAAGACAGAAGATGAAAGAACAAGCGCTGTCAAAAGGCAAGGAACAAGTGCTCACAAAATGTAGGAAAAAAAGCAAGTCTAGCAGAATGTATGAAAAAAAGACATCGAAATGCCTTTGAAGAAAGCGTATGAATAAACCTGCCCAAAAAAGTACAAGAAGGCGGGAAACATAAAAGGAGGAGGAGGAAGAACGACTACACTTTATTTTCAAAGGGAAGAAGAAGAAGATGATGATGAAGAAGAAGGAGGAGGTAAGGAGGAGGTTAGGAGGAGGGTGGAGGAGAAGGAAAAGAAGAAGAAGAAGAAGAAAAAGAAGAAGAAGGAGGGGGGAGGTAAGAAGAGGGTGGAGGGGAGAATAATAATAATTATTATTATAATTATAATAATAATAATAAGAAGAAGAAGAAGAAGAAGAAGAAGAAGAAGAAGAAGAAGAAGAAGAAGAAGAAGAAGAAGAAGAAGAAGAAGAAGAAGAAGAAGAAGAAGAAGAAGAAAAATAAGCAAAATGTACCCCAGGTGAGCCAAATGTTAGATGCCAGACCAACAGAAAGAGTCACAGACAACTGTTTTCATCACTGGTAATACCGCTTAAATTCAAACTGGCAAAATGACTGTTTGCCCTTCCGGTCTGATACCCCAGCAAGTCAGTGAGTCCCATCTTCGATGCCAATCCAACTTGGCAATTCATAGTTACTCATTTAACTACCTAGGAAATTACAATTAGTGTACCCGCAACGGCTAGCCTGGAATTCAGCAATAATCAGGGCGGGTAAGGTTCAACTATCACAGCTATGAGTAAGTTAATAGTTTTATCTATATATAGTAAACGGCTCATAAAACATTCGAGTTCCGTCGTGGTCATTAAATCAAAAAACGCAGTCAAATTCTATCGTCAATAATAAAACATAGTCTATTCCTGTGCTCTCTTACAAGGGCACTATCTAACAGCCGAATTCCGCAATGTTAATAATAGACATTTCTCCCTTCCTATCCCACTACCAATTCACAAGGAATGTTGATTAAATCCCGGCCAAATCAATACAACAGTCTTGGACCAGGTAAGTGCCAGATTTTCAGTCTTTCCCGGGTTTGTCGCTTACCGGGATTTTGGCACTTGGATACTTGGCTAGAAACGATATCAAATAAAAGCGAGCGTGTTACTGCAATATTCAACTCAAGTCAGCCGTGAATGAATGGATTTTACAACAACCATTTGCTCCACTTGTGACTTCTCTCCTGTTTATAAGGTCGTGTGCTATGCTACAAGTTCAATAAATGCAGACACGGCCGTTTGTCGCAGAATAACATTCACATTATTCCGAGAACGAGACAGAAGGAGATGAGCAGCGGGGAAATTAGTAAAAGACCCGTTTCCGCGTCATGAGATAGTGTTCTCCAATTTTCTCGTCACCCACTTGTAACATGCAATTGTTCATTATTTTGAAGCCCCACCGTGGCTCTTGCCAGGGGCCGCAATATAGTCCGGCCATACATATGGCCTAATGGATTGACGCGGTTTCTGGGACCTCTCCACGGGTGATCCTCATTCACATGGTGACACTTTGTGTCATCGGGTGTTTTTTGCTTGTGTGACGTCCTAGTGGGGTAAAATGTTCTACTGCTACTAGTCATGAGACGGCTAGACAGACTAATCGACACTCAATTGGTGATGTTATTATTATATATTTACCCCCCCCCCCCCCCCCCCCGGTAAACCCATCTATCCCCCCCCCGGGTAAACCCATCTATCCCCCACCCCCCCCCCCCACCCCCAAATCACCCATTTTAGACTGGGGCGTCATGGAAGACCGTAGACATTTTGTAAATAATCCTCGTCCCCAGGGTTTTCCGAACGAACGGCCACCGAAACTTTATGCACGTGCCTCGCCACTGTTCGCGCATGATCCCTTGTGAGTAGTAGTAGATTTTTACCCCACTAGGACATCACACAAGCGATAAACACCCGATGACACAAAGTGCCACTAAGACCATTAGTGTTCAGCCATTAGACCATATTTATGGTCGGGCTTTATTGCGGCACCTGGCAAGAGCCAGAGTAGGGCTTCAAATAATGAAACATTTCATCCTAAAAAGGACGGGAAATTTATGGTAGATAGACTACCACACGACATGGACTTGAAGAAATGTCGGATTTCGGAGCGATTATGTACACAATACGGGTAGGTGCAAGAGGGAGGACGAGGTGGCTAAGGAGAAGAAGAAAAGGGAAGAGGATGGAAAAAGAAGCAACATAATAGGAAGAGAGCGAAACAGTAAGTAGAAAGGAATAGGGCCTAGGTGGAGGAAGAAAACAAGAAATAGAAGAAAAAGAGGGAGTGAAGGAAGAAGAGGGACATAATCATAATTATTTCTTTGTCTTTACACTTCTGACCAGGGTGAGGTTTCAACATAGTGAAAAATTGCATCTCACAAGGAGGTGACTGGACGGATCAACCCTTGTGAGGGAAACGATGAAGAAAAGTGTCCAGATTGCTGGCACTATGGCAAGGGCACGACACAAAGAAAACATGGGACAGTTTCAAAGCCAGAGAACTGTAGAGCTTGACTGGTCCGACACCGACATCACCAGTACCAGTCAACATTAGCTGTTTCACATCTTTTGTTTCGTTCCAAGAAGAGAATAACCGCTATTACACCTACATCAGGATAGTTTGTTGTTGTACAAGCTGTGTCAAAGAATTAGAAAATAGGACTTATGAGCTTCATTGTAACATTCACCTTAGTTCTCAAATGACCGCTGGGTTGCATGTTTAACATGTCTGGTCTGAACAGACGCGCAATGGAATCGATATATAGTATAGTAACTCTTTCATAACATGAAAACAGCCCACGGTACTACTGTGGCAAAACAACAATAATTGCCTTATTGTTGCTGACTGGAATTTGGCATGTGTTGGTTGGACTACCTTTGAATGGCGTCGATACACTGATCAGATCGATATCCTGCGATTAACGACTAGATCGACCTTTACCGGCCATTCTTAAAAATATCGCCGATCACAGCAGAATCTGTCACGCAGAAAGGTACAATAATTGACAGATTGAAATGGATCACGCATAAAATGGGGAAGAAAGTATCTCTATTGTAACCAGTGTCCGGGATTAGTTAGCACAATATTTTCCGAATGATCAGTTATACATATAGGACATTACTGTGAAGGCGTGTTTGGACAAGTTCCAGTTCTAGTGGCTCTTGGCACTATGGTTACAACACAGACCCGTCATTAGGAGACAGTTTTGTGCCAGTTGTGGTCACATAAAATACAAACAGGTTAATCATAAACAAATTAATGTTTAATTCTAATGACCGACATTTTATTTTTTTTATTTTTAGTTTGAGATTCCAAACGACCTCGAAACGTTATAAACGTTAACTAGTAGAAGGCGGGATGGTAATCGATAACAGAAACAATATAACTGACCTATCAATTCAGTGGTGTATCTAGGGTATGGCAACCGGATGGCGGGGGGGGGGCGTCACTAGAGGGGCGTAACTGAGTGTGCCCCTAGAAAGGGCCGCGCTTTATATTTAAAAAAAAACACACACACACACACAATTTCTTTAAAAAGTGGCAGCCTCTCATCTGGAGGAACCACAATGAGTTTAAATTTTGAAACTGATAAATATTCAACAGATTTAGATTCCTTGATCATAAAACCCTCCTCTGGAATTTGCAATGTTAGCCTACGGATACTGTTAATTCAATAGTTATTGACAACACTCCCAGTGTTTATACTGCACAAATTACACCTTTACTTGTATAAACCCAGCACCTGAAGATTGTGTTCTATCCTTTGAATTTTACTTGCAAAGGTATTAAACAGGATTCCTAAGTGTGCACTAAAAAAATATTTAAAAGTAGACCTACAACTGAACAATGGCTAATGCAATTTACAAACATCAGACCCCCCTCCTCCCCCCTCCGCCAGCCCGACATGGGCGACAATTACCCTAGGTACGCCCCTGTATCAGTCATTTCTGGTTGTAGACTGCCAATGGCAGACACGTTGGCCAAAATGTGGCTGTTTTAAA